ATAATCCAGGTAGAATATCCTGATGCATGCTCAATAATCCAGGTAGAGCAATCTAAAAAAGTTCAGTCAGGTCCTATGGACGGGTTCTTCTAGTTGATGAAACATTTTGTCTTTTATCCAAAAGACTTCTTCAGTCTGAGGAGCCACAGCAAACTGACAAGCAGGCCGGTCATTAGCACCTGATGGCCGCTTGCTATTCACGGGGCTGAGTGATACTAGCAATAACAGCATTGTAAGAGGGGGACAGTTAAACATGGGAGGCTCCGCCCCTGTTTAATGATGGACAGGTTCTCTTCACAAACATGGCCTCCTTGACTCTCCTCTCAAACCATCATTCCTCTCTATCAAGGATGTGAACATCTTCATCCCTGAGTGAGAGGGTGTGGCAAGATGGTGCCAGCGTGTACTGGCAGTCGTCTACCCTCGTTCATTTGTTTATTGCTGTATAGTTTTATATGTTGTGCCAGGATATCTGTGGACTGTTGGTGTATGACCAACAGGTAGTTATTGATCTAAATCAACTCTTTGAACTTTGAGGATCAAACATTCAGACTCCCTCCTCCTCTAATCTCCGTACCAGCTGAGATGTGGTGTTTACCTGTTCGTGAGTGAAGGAGGCGGGGCAGAGAACGAGGAAAGCGTGGAGGCGATCTGGTAAGAGCCAGGGCCCAACGGAGATCAACTTTTGGGACTGTACCCCAAGGAGCACATGGACTCTGGTGGATCCAGCCTGTGGCACCCGTGCACCTAGATGCCGGTGTGCGTGATCTGCCTCTGCGGGCCCCGCTGCACAAGTCCGGAGGACGCTGCGCTGTGGATTCTGGATGCCTCCGGACACTGCGCCGCAGCTCCCCACCTGTCTGTGAGGAGACCACGCTACATCTGAGCCTACTAAATGCTAGATCGCTAACAAAATGTTTCTTTGATATTCTTTCTTCATGTCTCATAAACTGGACTTCATGCTGCTTACGGAGACCTGGCTCCAAGTCAGTGAGTCTGCTCCTTTCTCAGAACTTCTACCTCCCAAATGTCTCTATCTAAACAACAAAGTCCATGCTCAATAATCCAGGTATACAATCCAACATTTTTCAGTCAGCTCATCTGGACAGTTTCTTTTTCTGTGCTGAAACGTTTGTGCTGTCCAGACGACCTGACTGAAAAATGTTGGACCTCTATCTAAACTCGCCTCGGATGACTGGCAGAGTGGGGGTCAGCAACAATATACAAATCCAGACGCACATGTTGACGTCTACCGGCTCACTCTTTTTCAAGTTTTGAGCTACAGACTTTTCTGATTGACAGTCCAGTCCCGTGTGCTCTGATGTATTGATCGCCTACATTCAACAAATATTTCATTCAAGATTTTACAGACTTTGTGACAAGTCTCTTGCTGAGACAAGGTCATTTTGTGATTGTTGGGGACTTCAATATTCATGTGCGCTGTAAAACCAAACCACTGGCAAATGACTTTTGAAATTGATGGACTCATTTAACCTGACGCAGCTGGTGTCGGGCACAACACATGAAAAAGGACACGCCTTGGACTTGGTGCTGTCCTTTGGTGTTCATGTAAAAGACTGACATCTGTGAAGCACGTGTCTGACCACTTTGCTGTGCTGTTCTCTGGCACGCTGTCCCATAGTGTGATCAGGCCCTGCGCCCCAGCATGCCCAGTTCCATAATACAGTTCCAGACAGCTTCTTTACATTTTTAGCGAAATGCATAACCCCAAACTGATTTCTAATTTTTATGAAACTTGTGAGGCTTTGGACTCAGTCGCTCCACTTAAGCGGAAGCAATCAAAGACACAACCCTGGTTGGATGAAGGCACATGCAAACTCAGACAGGAGTGTAGGCGCGCCGAGCGCCGGTGGAGGAAACATCATCTTCAGATTTCTTTGCAAATACTTAGAGATAGTCTTGCTAACTCTCAGAGAGCTGTTAAAGCTGCAAAATGTAGATTCTTATCAAACCTTGTTTCCTCAAACTGCCACAAACCAAATGTGCTTCTTATCACACTAAATTCTCTTATATGTCCCTGTGATAGTAACGCTACTGTATCTTCATCCAACGTCTGTGAAGACTTCCTGTCATTTTTCAAAACAAAATTTCTGATCTTAGCTTGTCTCCTCTGTCTAGTGTGGATCCAGTGTCTCCATCAGTTTGTCATACTGTCTGTGAATCTTTTGAACCTGTGTCTCTTAGTGAACTGACTGAGACTGTTCAAAGTTAAAGCCTTCTTCATGTCCTCTGGACACCAGTCGTCTGTTTAAAGATGTCTTTGACTGTACTGGTCCATGTGTGGTTAAAATGGTAAAAGCTTCTCTGATGACTGGATGTTGTCCTACTCATCTGCAACATGCTGTGGTTCATCCATTCATCAAAAAGAGCAGCCTTGATTCAAATGTGCTGTCTAACTTCAGCTGCTCCCTCCTTCAGGGTTTGCCACAGTGACCGAACTCACATGAAATATTTGGCCTTTGTTTTTTACACCGGAGGCCCTTCCTAATGCAACCTGGACTCAAACCCTCAACCTCAGCAAAACAAGAGCATGTCACTGAGCAGCAAGCTACCACCGGCTCCGTGTTATTGACGAGTCATTTAATAAAGTGTTTGACAGTTAATACGCAGGTTGCTCAAATGTCAAATAGAAAGTGTGTACATTTACACAAGAAGAATCCATGAACACAGAAAGTCTATAGAAATTTGTGCCTGCATGAAAATGCTCATCTTTATTTGATCTTAACAAAAGTATAACCGGGTGCCTTTGATTTTTCCATAAACGATTATACAAATGAAGAAAAACACAGCCCACCCCGTTGCTTATTGTCAATCAACAATATCAAACGTTGCAGCCCCTGAAAAGTTAATCATAAAGAAAACTGAGTCCAAAGATCAACACCGGAAAATATGTTTTGATGTTCATCTTTTCTGGGGGGCAGCACGGTGGTGCAGTTGGTAGAGCTGCTGCCTCTCACAGAGCAGGTCCCTGGTTCAAATCCCAGTCTGGGGGCCCTTTCTGGGTGGAGTTTGCATGTTCTCTCCGTGCTGCGTGGGTTTTCTCCGGGTAGTTTCCTCCCACAGACTAAAAACATGCATGTTAGACTGATGGTAACTCTAAATTGTCTCTAGGAGAGAGAGAGAGAGATAGAATGGTTGTTTGTCTCATTTGTCTTTGTGTGTCCCTGTGATGGACTGGAGACATGTCCATGTGTACCCTGCCTCTCACACAGCAATAGATGGACATGGACACCAGCGACCCCCGCAACGCAAAAAGGAAGATGCAGGTAAAGATGACGGACGGATCTTTTCTGGGGTCAGTCAGTAAAAGATGGTCAGAATTATTGGGAGGGTGAGTGCCACTATTTTTTAACATTTGTCCCAACATCTTGTTCACCACGATAAAACACAAAAAGAGAGGTTGTTCTTCTTCTGCATGGTTTTGTTTAGCTGCTCAAACTGTTGCTTGCTTGTTCATCGATCCCACAAAGCACGTGTTACATGATTCTCCTCCTCTGATGGATTGTTTGATTTGTAGTACCTGTTAGCGTATCACACATCTGAGATTAAAGTAATTTCTACTGTTGACTTTGTGTTAACCACATGTTGCATGTTGTCAGGTCATTAAAGGGCAGGATGACTGATCTAATTTACACTCTGGTGACAGTGCAGGATCATAATCTGCACTTTTTCAGTCAGTTTTGTTCATCATGACGTGCTGAGTATAGGGAAAAATGACCAAGACCACACAAAATCACTGTACATTTACAAATGTTTATTATAATTTCTTTTGAAAATGTAAAACTATAATAAACAGAACCAACAGAGACTAATACTGTATAAAAATAAATTAAGACAACAAATAACCTCATACAATTACCCCTGAATGAGGGGACTGAGTCATCCATATGGCAACAACACAGTGATGTGCATTTGTAATAAGTTATTCTTAAATAGACACAAGACAAACATAAAGAAAGACAACGCATTGCACAAAGGTTTTAAAATAGTGCTGCTATATGCAACAGCATATGGATGATAGAGAAATAAATATTTCATATTGAGTTTAGAAGCCTTAATGTAAATCTGATTTCTAAGAACTCGTTAAAAAGTAGGATTTTACGTAGTAGAATTATGGAGACAATTAGGAGTTTCTTTGATTGCGGTATTAGCCAAAATTATTAAATTTATCCAGGATTTCAGCTCCACTGCTGGATGTCACATCCATCTTTCTAGGTCTGCTGATAACATTTTCTGGATTTACAGGCCAGTTGTATGATGAACTAACTAACCACGTCCATTTATACTGCAGCTCCTTTCTCTCCCCATCTGCTTCACCCTCTGCTGCAGCAGCTCCAGCTGCCGGCCCACCTCGTTTGGCAGGTCATCGTTCACCTGCGTGGTGAAGTACTTTCTCACCTCGTCCACCTCCCTCTGCCAGAACTCCTGATCCAAGGAGAACAGCTCGTTCAGGTTCACCTTCCCTCGCAGGCCCTGGAGGTTCAGGGAGTCATGGCTGGGCAGGTAGCCCACCACGGACGGCACAGCGCTGGTCTGGCCATCAATACGCCTGAACATCCAGTCCAGAACTCGGATGTTGTCACCAAAACCAGGCCAGAGGAAGCCAGCAGTGGGACTCTTGCGGAACCAGTTGACGTGGAAGATTTTGGGAAGCTTGGCTCCAGGGCGGTCGACCATGCTCAGCCAGTGGGAGAGGTACTGACCAAAGTTATAGCCAAAGAACGGGCGCATGGCGAAGGGATCGTGCATGATGACTTTTCCTGGATACAGAACGAATGAGAGACAACGAGTGAACATTGACCTCTGACGGCTAACAGACTGTACAAAACAAAAAACACAAGTAGATCAGTGTGCTCAGACTCTGACCTTTGTGTTCAGCTGCTGCAGTCGCCTCTGACCTCATGGCTGCTCCAACAAACACACCATGCTGCCAGTCAAAGGCTTCGTACACCAAAGGGACACCTACAGGGACAATCAGATTGAATACTTCATTGTTGTTTGGTCTATTTCTTCAAGTCATGTTTTGTCTTTGAGATAAAGGGTCATTGAAATCAAGGATTGAAGCAACAAATTTCAGATACCACAATACTGTGAATTTACTCTGTTTAAACCCTTCAAATGGGAAAAGAGAAGACTTAATGTTCAATTGAAGAAAACCAAACTAGAAGTGCTGTTATGAAGGACACAAACCCAATGTCTATTTTTTCACAATGCTGTCAAAATCCCAGTTATCCTCACCTTCTGGCCTGCGGCCGCCAAAAATGATGGCCTCAATGGGGACTCCCTCTGGCGATTCCCACTGCGGGTCGATGATGGGACACTGACCGGCCGGCGTGCAGAAACGAGAGTTAGGATGAGCGCAAGGTTCTCCTTAGAACAGAGAAAGAAAAGCCAATGGTTTAACTTTTCACACTTTGATATATGCATGCACTCTGAAACAGATGGTCAGTAAATAATAAGTAGACAATAAACATGAAGCTTCTTACCTGTCTCTGAATTCCAGGGCTGGTTTTTCCAGGATGTGAGCGTTACTCCTTCAGGCAGTTCTTGGTCAATTCCCTCCCAGTACACACCACCATCGCTGGTCTCTGCAACATTCGTGAAGATGGTGTTCTTAACAATGGTGGCCATTGCGTTGGGGTTTGTTTTGACTGATGTTCCAGGTGCAACGCCAAAAAAGCCATTTTCAGGGTTGATAGCACGTAGGTTGCCTAAGAAAAGACAAAAGGCAAAAAACATTGTTAGTTTGACAACTTTTGCATGTTTTATTTAGTTTCATTGTCATTAAAGGGCCCTTGAAGAGCTTTGAAAAGTCCCTCACCTTGGTTGTCAAACTTCATCCAGGCGATGTCGTCTCCTACACACTCCACCTTCCAGCCAGGCAGCGTTGGGCAGAGCATGGCCAGGTTGGTTTTGCCACAGGCACTGGGAAAGGCTGCTGCCATGTACTTCTTCTCCCCTGCAGGACTGGTGACTCCCAGGATCTGAACAAGACAAATGTTCAGTTTTCATCAGGACAGTTAGCTTGTTTGAGAAACCCATAAATGAGACACTGTTTCTGGGAGTTTTATTTCTTCTTCTTTTCTTACCAGCATATGTTCAGCCAGCCAGCCCTCCTCCTTAGCGATGCGGGAGGCGATGCGCAGTGCGAAGCATTTCTTTCCCAGCAGAGAGTTTCCTCCGTAACCACTGCCGAATGAGATAATTTGTCTGCGGTCCGGGATGTGGGCGATCAAAGTCTGCTCAGGGTTGCAGGGCCAGTTATTTACCAGAGGCTCTGAGAGAACAATCACACAGTTTGTTATTTTAATAAATGGTTTAAAAATGTGTAAATGGTAACACAAGAGCTTGCAGGTATTTTTATTGATACTATGTTTAATGGTTCTGGACATACGTTTGACTGGGAGGGGACAGCCGACAGAGTGCAAACAGCGGACAAACTCTCCATTTCCCAGAGCGGACAGCACAGACTTCCCCATACGGGTCATCACTCTCATACTGGCCACCACGTAGGGAGAGTCCGTCAGCTCGACACCGATCTTAGACAGGGGGGAGCCCACAGGACCCATGCTGAAAGGAATCACATACATGGTGCGACCTGAGGACAGAGAAACAAGACGACACATTCATGTCAGAAAATCAAGGAATGCTTTTCTTTTCCTCTGTCGTCTCGTTTTAACATATAATCTCTAATCTCTAATAATTTTACACGCGTCTCTGTGGTACCTTTCATGCAGCCGGGGAACCGCTGAGCCATGGCTTTGTCAAACTCTTCTGGGGACATCCAGCGTCCCAGCTGGCTGACTCCACCTTCTAGTGGAGTGGGCACGGTTTCCCTCTGGTTCCTGGTAACAATCACTGTCTTGCTCTCTACCCGGGCCACATCCCTTGGGTCAGTTCTGGCTAACCAGCTGCAGGAGGAGGAATGAGAGGAATGAGGAGAAGAAGACATTTGGACAGAATACATATTCATAAAACTATTTTAATTATGTTTTCAAATGAACCTATGAGTTGTTCATCTGTTAAGATCTCTACAAATTATAGTACTGGATGAACAAAGTCATTAGAACTTTAAGAAAATGTCCTATTTCTACCCAGCCAGTCCGTAAACCACTAAAACCAGCCTAAAACCATCTTACCAGTTCTCATATTTGGAGAGCTTTTTGATCATTCCCTGCTCTTCCAGCTGGGTCAGGATTGCTCGGTTCTCTTGATCTGAGCCGTCACAGATGTGGACCGACTCAGGCTGGCACAGGGCCACGTTGGTCTCCACAAACTCCCGAACCGCTGGACTGAGGGAACCGAGGTCGCCCTGCAGGAGCCTGGGACCCCTCTGGTTCTGGGACTGGATTTGAGGAGGCATGGTGAAGGAGTCTGGAGGTTGCTGGTAGACTTGGAAAGAAGAGATGAAGTCTGAAAGTCTGGAGTGAAGATAAATTAAGACGGTGGGAAGAGAGAGGTCAAGAACGTGACAAAATAAAATGATAAAACAATAAAGAGTGAACATTTAGAACAGAAAATCTACAAAACAAAGAGTTTCTCGTTACCTTCAGGAGCTTTTGGAGCGATGACTGTTAGTTTGGCCTCATCAGCTGAGGTGTCTCTGTTGGCTGCTCTCAGTCAGGCTGAGGACTCTTGGTCCGCTGTGTCTGCTCTGGAGAAGGTTTGCTCCTTTTATACCCTGGGATGTCCCTCCAGAAGGGGGAGAGGGGGGTGTGACGAGGTGTGCTCATGACCCTGTTGATAAGACAGAGATAGTGTGTAACAGGCTGCCAATCATTAACCAGCAGCAGGACAAAACTTTGCTTCATGTAACCGGTTCCCTCCGCCGTCAGCTGGATGCCGATGCCTGATTTGGACCTCAGAGTGAGAAACAGGAACCCTTGGGCTCATTAATGCTCTTAAACTTGTTCTTATGCAAAGGAAGTCAGGAAGGTTTTTTTATTGTCCTTGGCATCATGTGGTAGATGTGGTGGAACAAAACTGTGTACACAGGGTCCCAGTTGCATCCAACAAAAGTATAAATTGTTAAGGAAAACAGTAATAAGATCTAAGATATGAACTAAGAAATACACTAAGCACTAGTAGTACAAAAACAACACGCCGAACAACAGCAGGACGAACATGAATCTGTGTGAGCAGATGAGGATGAATGAACACAGCAACATGAAATAAATCAGCAGCATGAGACCACCAGCATGGATAAGCAGCAGCACATATCAACAATCAAGTGGCTTTACAGTATTTTTTGTTTTTCAGTGATAGTCCTGGTTAGAGATTCATGAGTCTAACAGCCTCAGGGTAGAAGCTGTTCCTCAGTCTAGTGGTTCTACATGTAAGGATCTGCACCTGCCCTGCTCTGTGCAGATAGTTAATGACTCTCAGGTGCTACGTATTGGGTTTAATTAGAGACTCTCCTTTATATACTGTGCTCTCCTGCATCTCAGGCAGGGGAGCATTAGGTGTTAAACTGCACCTTCACGGTCGTCTCCTAGTGTCTTGGTATTCCATGTATTTCCTACGAATGTAAGTAGTATTGCTGCCCCGACAGCATTATATGTGATTGTTGCCTTTTTTGTGATTAAAACACCTTTTTGTGACCTCATTGGATTCTTTCTTGCATTTGGGTCTCAACCACCACCCGATTTTGACACTACACTTAATGCTCCTGAACCTCCTTCCTGAGGGGAGCGGGGCAAAAAGTGTGTGTGCTGGGTGAGTGTGGTCCTTCATGATGCAGGTGGCCCTCTTCTTGCATCTGGAAGTGTAGATGTCTGTGATGGTGGGGAGGGTTACTCCAACATCTTCTGTTTTCAAAAAACATTCAATACAACATCTTCTGTGCAGCCTTCACCACTCTCTGCAAAGCTTTTCTTTCTGCAGAGGATGCTCTCCACTGCACACCTGTAGAAGGAGGTGAGGACTGAGTTTATATGTTGTTAATAAAAAGTTATAAAAAAAAAAACAGGGAGTGCTTGCCCTGCAGCCCACATATCAGACCAGCCCACCAGGAAATCTCCAGACACTCCAGCAGCCACGGCGGGCCTGATTGTAATTGTCTCGTGACAAATTCCTTAATTTCTCACTATTTTAGTTATGGTGTCAACGGAGGAGGAAGAGATCTCTTGCCTCTTGGAAAAAACAAAAGAAAAGACCATTAAACCAGATCAGGGATGAAGAAGGGGAGTTTAGTACATTGGTGTTGTATACAAAACAGTCTGGCAATTGATTGTGCGACACAGAATACGCATACGCGGTTGTAAAAATTGTTCTTTGTGCAGACAGGGCTTGCAGGTGTCCGCTTCGACACTGCACTGAGTCTAATCCAGTATGTGCAGACCTCTGCAGAGTGAAGTATGTGGGAGCCTTTAGTGATGAGAAGGGTTGCTGTAAGGCAAGCCCATACAGGTAAGTTTTTCTCAGAACTTAAGAGAATACAAAATGCCAGAAGCACTGCTACCATAAGCATCGAGAGGAGTCATCTGCTGCTCTTTAGACTCCTGGCATCTCATCAGGAAGATTCTTCTCAAATGTGGAAACAGTTGGCACCATCTGGTGTTTCCAAAGCAGCAGGGAAAAAACTGAATAGTTCTGATTTAAAAAAAAAAGTGTTTCAATTTCAGTTTCTTTATTTAGTTTTCAACATGTAGCTTAAAAGAGAGATGTGCATCAATTAAAATTCCCAAGTATTTGTAAGAATCCAAAAACTCATTGGGAACACCGTGTGTGGATGAGATAGGAGGAAGAGTTGCTGGCACCAACTTTCTGTTGAGAAACAACATCCCTTTGGTTTTGTCAGCATTTAGCAGCAGTTTGAGATGGAATAAGTTTGACTGGATGAAGTCAAATGCAGACTGTAGAAACTGGAAAACCTTGGCAACTGTTTCAGCTCGACAATAAACAATTGTATCGTCAGCATAGAGATGCAAGGAGGCATCAGGAATGTTTTGACTTACATTACTTTTTATGAATTGTAAAAAGAGCGGGTCCTAAAACTGAGCCTTGTGGCACACCATTAGTGACTGTTAAAAATCTAGACAAAGTACCATTGTGCCGAACACCTTGCCTCCAACCTGAGAGATAGTTAGAAAACCAGCCAACAGTGTGATCTGAGAAGCCAACATCTGAGAACTTGTGGCAGAAGATGTGATGATCTACAGGATCAAAGGTTTGGACAGGTCTAAGTAAAGTGCAGCTCAGTAATCCTTAGTGTCCAAAGCTTCAACAACATCATTAAAAACCTTCAGTGATGCAGTTGTTGTGCTGTGTTGTTTCCTGAAGCCAGATTGTAGAGAAGATAAAATGTTAAGAGTCCAAATACTTCTTGACTTCACAATTTGCCACATTTCAGATGGTTCAGGTTTGATATTGGTGAATAAGATTTTTGTAATAGTGCTCTCTTGTCCTCTTGCAGCGTTGTTGCGAAAGTTCGGCCCCCACAGTGAGTGAAGTCAGGTCAGGGTTCACCATCGTCAGGCAGCAGCATGACGTCTTTGTCCGGCCTCGTTTGAATTGGCTGGAAAACAGGGGCTTGCTCTCATGAGGGGGGAGCTCTGTCAGGAAAGATGTGTGCACACCTACATGCGCTGCGTGGAGACTTTAGATAAAAAGGGATCTCTGAGCAGCGTTTAGTCTTTGCTGATTGAAGTTCTGATGTTTGCAATTGATTTGAAGTTTCCGGCACGTCAAAGTACCAGATTATAAATGAAGAATAAAAGCTAATGCTGCAGTTAACATGCTGTAACTTTACACTTTGACTGAATTCTTTTGTTCACATTTTTTATTCAGGCTGATACTGCGTGAAGAACTAGAGTTTATTTAATAAGCAGCCGTTTATGGGATAACAAACAGATTTGCTGATGTGTTTAATTGCTTTAGGAATAATTCATGTTTATCAAATTACAGAGATATCAAATTTAAGATTTTTTAAATTTAAATGAAGTTACTTTTAAAATCCAGAAATGCTTAATTGCATATTTAAACGCATGTTTCTCCTACATGAACATATCAGAATGCTTTAGGCTTCGACCTGTTCTTTAAAACAGCTCAGCCTCATCATCGGGCATGAAAGAAGAATTTGACTGAGGAAAGTTATTTTTGATATTGTCTCGTAGCTATTTAAATAAAAAACAATGTGAGTTTTAGATCAGTGCAATAATTGATAGACACTTTTTTAAACTCGTGACTTACAAACATTTGATGATTCCAATTGTTTGCGGCTACAATACAAGCCCAAATCATCAGCTGTCCACCACCATGCTTGACCGTTGAGACGAGATGTTCGTGTTGAAATCTTGTGGTTGGTGTTCTTTATTAAAGACACTCATTACAGGTAAACTTCTCTACTTAGGTCTCATGTGTCTGAAAGACGTTGTTCCAGAAGTCTTGTGGTTCATTCAGATGAAACTTTACGAATCCAAGTTGTGCTGCCAAGATTCTTTTACAAAGAAGATTCTTCTGTAATCCGTCCATGCAAACTGTTCTTCTTTGGACGTTTTCTAATCTTCTGTCATGAACTTCAACTTTTAACCTGCTTTTCGAAGCCCGCACTTTGAGATATGGCTCTTGAGGACTTTAGTGATTTTACTGAGAATTGTGCGCTTTGACCTCTGGCTGAAATTGTCGAACCTCTTAGGGAATGGATTTTATTTTGTTGTAAAATGCATTTGAACAAAAAGTGAAAGCACATGTACGATCAAATAAATTTGACCTTTATTGAAATTAGTGACAACATCAAAAAAGGTTAAGTCTTGTCATCTGGACCAGTTTCTTTAAGGGAGAAACATTTCATCCTCCATCCAGAAAACTTCATCAGACTCATGAAGTCTTCCGGATGAAAAGTTTGTCACCTAAAGAAACTGGTCCAGATGACAAGACTTAACCTTTTTTGTTGTTATCTACATGGATGATGGAGCTTAAAAAACTTTTTATTAGTGACATTTACTCCCAAAGTTCTACTAGGTATTGATGAGAAGTGGTTATTTCTGCTGCAGTGGTCGTATGTGAAGGAAATGTGAGGACACAGAGGACAGAGTGAGATGGAGGACGATGACTCACTGTGACAACCCCTGAAGAGGGAAAAGCCCAAAGAAGAAGATGACGACAGTCTAAGTTGAGCTAGAAGTCTGAACATAGACTGGTGTCTGAGCTAGACGCCTGAACATAGACTGGTGTCGGAGCTAGACGTCTGAACATAGACTGGTGTCGGAGCTAGACGCCTGAACATAGACTGGTGTCGGAGCTAGACGCCTGAACATAAACTGGTGTCTGAGCTAGACGTCTGAACATAGACTGGTGTCGGAGCTAGACGCCTGAACATAAACTGGTGTCTGAGCTAGACGTCTGAACATAGATTGGTGTCGGAGCTAGACGTTTGAACATAGATTGGTGTCGGAGCTAGACGCCTGAACATAGACTGGTGTCGGAGCTAGACGTCTGAACATAGATTGGTGTCGTAGCTAGACGCCTGAACATAGACTGGTGTTGGAGCTAGACGCCTGAACATAGACTGGTGTCTGAGCTAGACGCCTGAACATAGACTGGTGTCGGAACTAGACGTCTGAACATAGACTGGTGTCGAAGCTAGACGTCTGAACATAGACTGGTGTCGGTGTTTGCTCCTTTGATAACTGTCTGAAGTTCTGT